TTATTATATTTAATAATTAATATCTTTGTTTGTTGTTATTTATTTATTAATATTTTATTATAATACTATTATTTTATTACTATTTTACTAATATTTGGTTAATAGTTTTTATTACTTCACTATCTTATTATTAATTTAATAATATTTTATTATTTTACTATTTTATTAAAATTAGGATTAGGGTTTGGGGGCCTTTTTTGTCATGAGTTCATTATTCCCTCCTCTCTCTCTCTCTCTCTCTCTCTTAAATATCTTTCTTAAATGTATAATAACATGCATTGAGATAATATGCCTTGGAAAACCCATCTCTCTCTCTCTCTAATAATATACACTCTATCTTAATTGTCTCTCTTTAATAATCTCTTTATAATAGTGCAAAACTTTATTGATGACATGATATGGTTTGTTTAATCAAAATTGACATGATTTTTTTTTTATATTTTAAAACAAAAAAATGCAAAAATGCAAAACATTAGGCTTATTTTTCACATGGTTTCATACTAATCTCTATTAGCTTTCTTTTTGTCTTTTTTTTTTTGCTTATATCATAAGTAAATAATGATTTTCATGTAGGAAGTGGATAATATGCTAAGGTTGAATTTCCTAGAATCTAACATCCCCCATGACCCAAATCCCACTAAAATCCAAATTAAGAGAAAGAAGGTTTCAACATCAAACAGAGATTGGTCTAGAGTAGTCCATGATCAATTGGGGTTAGTGGAATGCAGTAACTTAGGTGATTCCCAAAGAAGCTTGTTTGTTTGGCAATTGTGTTGATTTCACTTATGTTGCAGCTGCATTGCACACTTTTTTTTTATTTATTTCTTTTGCAATAGCCCAATGAAACATACACATGATTTCTGTTTGTTTTAAATTCAAAATACGTGGTGATTTGCCTTTTATTTGGATAGTTCATTCATCATGCATGTATGAGTGGGTTGCAAGAATTTGTATTTGTACTCCTTCCAAATGGAACCTAAGGCTGTGTTTGGTTGCAATGAAAATAAATTTGGACTGATGCAAAACCATGGCAATTCAAATGATTTGAATCTAAATTCCGACTTATTTGTTGTTTCAAATTTTAGCTTATTTTGCTTGATTGCAGTTCAAATGAAGTAAATTAAGACATGAAGAAAAATAAAATAAAATTAAACAATAATTTATATTTTTTACATGTGCACTCCCATGCATTTGTACTAGTGCAAATAAAATTGCACTGCAACCAAACAAAGTCTAAGGTTCAGTTTTAAAAGAGTACAAATACAAATATGTAGAGTGTAAAACCTTGTATTTTGTATTTTTTTTGTATGTATTTGTACTCTTCTAATAATGAGCCTACGTAACATTTTTTGGAAGCCAACCCTAAGTAACATTTACTACACTTGCATATGCTAATTATAATAGTGATTTCATTTTTGGTATTCCATGGTACAAACATATGCTATGTAAATTTAATAATAATAGGAGTGAAAATCAAGATAAATTTAAGATTGTAGACCAAGATATAGTTCAAAATGACCTTTTTAATTATTCATAGAATTAGAACAAGATGGGCAAAATGGAGGGATGCATATGGGGTTTTATGTGATAAGCAAATGCCATTTAAGTTAAAAGGAAAATTATATAAAATGGAAAGCATAGTCTTGGGTAATCATGATACAACATGTACAAAAACGATTGTGCTAGAAATGTGTAATTAAGATGAATAAGTGGACAAACTAGAAAAGATAAGATAAAAAATGAAGTTATTTTAAGGAATCCAGGAGTAGTTCCAATAGGTGATAAAATGAGAAAAGGTAGAGTGAGACGGTTTGCTCATGTACATAGAAGACCATCAACAATATTGGTAAGAATACATGATTTATTGCAAGTTAAATGGGGCTAAAAGAATTGGAGCCTTGGAGGCTGACTAAAAAGGACATGGGTAGAAGTAGTGAGAAATAATTTAAGTGCAAAAAAATCAATAATGTATATAACATTAAACATAATGAAATGATGAAAAAAGATTCATATCCATATAGTTGGGTTAAGGCTTGACTGATGATGATAATGATAATACAAATTGCAGAGGACTTGGGTGTGATGATAGAGAAGGGTGCATATGAGGTCCATTGTCCATAGAGATGGCCAATTCCACAAGTTTGATTGTCTCCTTCCTTTTTTGGAGGGATATTAAGTGCCCATCTCATGAACCAAAGTCTCATTGGCATAACATTAGATGAATGCTTGGGGCTGAAACCAATGAAAAATTTTATTAATTTCCTTCCTCTAGGCTCAAGGAAGGAGTATAAATACAAATATGTAGAGTGCAAAACCTTGTATATTTTGTACTATTTTATAAGTATTTGCACTCTACATATTTGTATTTATACTCCTTCCAAACTGAGTTCTAGCACCAAATTGTGTAAGTAAACAATAAGAAACTAATATTTTTTACACATTGACTGCGGTAGCTAGCTTGGAGAAGTTCCAAACCATATAAAATCTATTAGAAAATCAAAATTCTCTTTAGACCACATAATATGCTACGGATTACATTCACAATTGGAAAAAAAATCAAATATATATATATATATATATATATATATATATATATATATATATANTATATATATATATATATATATATATAATTTTAGTCTCTATCTAACATTTCAAAAGGGTATTTTCTTGGTATTCTAAATAGAATTGTATCTGATGGTTTAGTGGGTTAAGGTAGGGGGATGTACATGGGCCCATTGCTTCACACAATGTATAAAGATTTGAAATTGCACCACTCAAATGGGGGAAAGACATCAATCGACAACCAAAACTGAAAGATCATTGGCAAGACTGCCCTCTTTGACAAAGGTTGCTTACTAAGACAAATTACACGCAACAAAGCATATCTCATGAGACCCATTATTGATGGCACCATTACTGCTTCCTCTTTTTAGAGAGACACCAAATCCCAAGTGACCATCTCATGAAATGCTTCAAGCTGAAAACATATGAAAAAATTTATTAATTACGTACACTCCTCTCTTACCAAACAACGTAGGTAAGTTGACTCATTTTCTTAGGTAAATAATAACTATTATTTTAAAAAATTAAGGTTCATTTGATTTGCAGTCAGAATTGAAATTAGAATGGGATTTGAAATCAAAAGAAATGAGATTTCATTGTCAAGGGAATGCATTCCCTCAAATGGAGGGAATGCCATTCCAACAGGAATGAGAATGAGATTCTGATTCTGTTCAACCAAACAGTTGGAGTCGAAATAGCCAGATCCCTATTCCTGCAAACCAAATGAGGCTTAAGTTTTTTTTAGACATTTATTGATATAGCTAGCTTGGAGAAGTTCTTGACAATATAAACTATATTAGAAAAAATTCTCCTTAGAAAAATGTATTTTCAAAAATTGAAGCACCACCTATGATTTCTTCTAAGCAAAGGGCATTTTCTTGTCCTAAATAGGATTGTAACGGGTGGTTTAGTGGGTTAAGGGAAGGGGTCTAGATCTGATGGGCCCATTGCCCCACACAATGTATAAACTATAAAGATTTAAAATTGCACCACTCAATTGGGAAAAATATCAATTGACAATCCAAACTAGAAGACATTGGTAACACTGCCACACTTAGGCAGAGGTTGCTTACTAAGACAAACTATATACAACAAATGTATCTTGTGAAACCCATTATTGATGGGGTACCATTGCCACAATCATGACCACCACGTTTACTACGTATAAAGGAAGTAAGGATTCATCTTCTCTTGCTGAATCCAGATTTTCTCGTCTTCACGGAACGCTCTTTGCACCAATCTTACACTACATCACAGTTGTGCATTGGAAACATCTATGTTATAATGTTATAATTCATGGGGAGATGTTCGCGTTACACAACTGCAATGTATTGTAAAATTGGTGTGAGGAGCATATCTCAATATCCAAGGCTCCAGGGATGAAATCATAATCCACAAGCACTATGTATGGCATATTATAAGGTGCCAGCTAGTTTGCTAGTAAAGTCTCTTGGTGGTTGTATTGGAGATTTGGGGTTGAGTCTAAGCCTCTACCAGGGTGGGAATAAGGTTAAAAGTTTCTTGATACTATGCAAGGATATATGATACTTTGAACCGAGTTGGAATCTCCTGCCAACAAAAACACATTCCAACTGCTATCAATTTGATCTAACAATGCAGTGAGACTGGACCCTCTATAAAAATAGGACCTGCCATTGTATGAGATGTGCGGTATTAGATCATGTTGATAGGTTGTTGTAATGTATTTTTTAACAGGTGATCCAAATTTATTTGAGCCTTGTGGCCATCCATTTTTTATTTTTATTTTTATTTTTTTAAATCATGGGTAGGTATTAGGCCTGTCTTAAAATAGGCCAAAACCCCAAAACACATGTATCTGATGTATTGATAACCCACCGATAAAATACGTAAATACGTATAAGGGCCGATACTGCTGCACATCACACCATGTATTGGAAACATCTTTCATATGAATAATAAGACATAAATATGGGAAATGTTTTCGATACACATAAATGTTTTCAGTACTCGGTGTGAGGGGGCAGATCCGGAGTTCCGGACTCGAAATTTTGAACGTTGGTTGAGAAGGGTTACCCAATAAACCATATGATCGAGCCGATTTGAACCGAGCGGAGCTGAAGAGAAGCGCAGGGTTTTTTTCTTCAGTAACCGGCTAACCGGATAAATCGGCGACTAGTGGCTGGCATTTGGCAAGTTAACCGGGCGCACGCCGACCCGCACGTCCCGTTATGGCCGCCCACTGACGTGGCGAGGGTCAGTCGAGAGCTAAAGCCAGATCGGTCGGTGAGGATTCTGTGCATCACGACAATCGGACGGTTCTGGTTCGAACAAAGGCTGTCAGCCAGGTCATCCTATCTTTTCTCGTGGTCGAAATGATTCCTCGACTTTAATTAATTTTGGTTTCATTTCATTTGCATTTCACTCCGATTTGGCCGGCCCAGTATATATCGTTCCTTTTGCCTCCTCGTTCACCATTTTCGGTGTTTTGCCGAGGAGGAATCAAGAAAGTGAGCGAGCAAGCTCCGTCCTTTCTGGTTTTTCTTTTCTTCCATCCTGAAAACCAAGGAAGAAGGCGTGTTTGCCCGATCTCCTCTACCTTCTTCCCTCTGTCATCTCTTCGATCAAAGGTAAGAAGAGACACTCATCTCATCACGATTCGATTGTTCTCTTTTAGACATTTTGCTACTGGTTTCGGATTCCGAGGTTTCGATTTGTTGAGGTGTTTGTGTGTTTTCTTCGTATGTTTTGTTGCAAATTTTTGCTTGGAGATTGTAATGGTTCATTTTGTAGTTTATCATCTTGTTGCATTAGGACAAAATAGCTTTCTTTTGGTGTCATTACTTAATCCTTAGACGAAAGTATGGTTTGATGGGGTTATGGGAGGTTTTTAGGGATGATTTAATGCCGGTCTGTGATTTTATCTCCTTTATTGCTTGGATCATGCGTTTGGAGCTGGGATGCATACACGTATCGCCGAAAATTTTCTCTAGATCTTTACGATCTTCAGGTTGTCTTCCCATTGTTCGCTTTTCGAATGTTTGGTCTCATTTTTTCTCTGCCTGTGTAGTGAATCGCCACTTGTTATGCTTGGCCTTTAGGAGATCTTGATATTCAGGTTCTTTGGAAAAATGCTGATCTGATTCCCTTATTGTGTTAACTATTTTCAATTTGTGCATCTAGTTTGAGATCGTTGTTGAGATGTTAATCCGTTACTTGTATGATTTCCGATCTGTCGATCTCATGCTTTTTACCTCTTTGGTGTTGGTTAATCTGTTTAGATCTACTGATCTAGTAGCTCTACTTTTTTTTTTTTTTAATATGCAGATAGGTTTTATCTATCAATCTCGGAAACATGATTTTTGGATCTGTTTAGAGTTTGAAGACACAGTGTTACTTTTTCTGGACCAAAGCAAATCATTTTTCTTCTTTCATAATTTGAAATTTGAAATCTGTTTGCTTACATCGAGAAGACTAGTAATTAAAATATCAACAAAAAGCAAACGAAATGTTTGAGAGACGTCAATGGCAGAAATATTACATAAATAAACATAATATTAAGAAAATAAGTAAAATTTGAGACAGATGATCTTGCGACAGTGATCGGGACTGTGATGATTCTTTCTTGTTCTGTTCTGCGAACTTTATCACAGATCTATAGCAAATGGCGGATGCTGAGGATATTCAACCCCTCGTCTGTGACAATGGCACTGGAATGGTCAAGGTTAGCTAATCCTTGATAAGCTTGTACCTTCAACTAACTTGTTTTCTTGAATGCTTTGTAAATTTTAATTATGATGCACAAATTATATTTTCTATCCACAGGCTGGATTTGCTGGTGACGATGCTCCTAGGGCAGTCTTCCCCAGTATTGTTGGAAGACCTCGACACACTGGTGTTATGGTTGGGATGGGACAAAAGGATGCTTATGTAGGAGATGAAGCCCAGTCCAAGAGAGGTATCCTCACCTTGAAATACCCCATTGAGCATGGTATTGTCAGCAATTGGGATGACATGGAGAAGATTTGGCATCATACGTTCTACAATGAACTCCGTGTTGCCCCTGAAGAGCATCCTGTTCTTCTTACTGAGGCTCCCCTTAACCCTAAGGCCAACAGGGAGAAGATGACCCAGATTATGTTTGAAACCTTCAATGTGCCTGCCATGTATGTTGCCATCCAGGCCGTTCTCTCTCTATACGCCAGTGGTAGAACAACCGGTTTGTACACTACATTACCCAAACTTCAAATTTGTTGTTTACTGGTTAACTGTTTCTTGATATGCTGAAATGGGCATTTGTTTTTCACAAGGTATTGTGCTTGACTCTGGAGATGGTGTCAGCCACACTGTCCCAATCTATGAAGGGTATGCTCTCCCCCATGCCATCCTTCGGTTGGACCTTGCTGGTCGTGATCTCACCGATGCCCTGATGAAGATCCTTACTGAGAGAGGGTACTCTTTCACCACCACTGCTGAACGGGAAATTGTCCGTGACATGAAGGAGAAGCTTGCCTATGTGGCTCTTGACTATGAGCAGGAGCTTGAGACTGCCAAGAGCAGTTCATCAGTTGAGAAGAGCTACGAGCTGCCTGATGGGCAAGTGATTACCATTGGTGCTGAGAGGTTCCGGTGCCCTGAGGTTCTATTCCAGCCATCCTTGATCGGAATGGAAGCTGCAGGAATCCATGAGACTACCTACAACTCCATCATGAAGTGTGATGTTGATATCAGGAAGGACCTGTATGGAAACATTGTGCTGAGTGGTGGTTCAACTATGTTCCCTGGTATTGCTGACCGTATGAGCAAGGAGATCACAGCTCTTGCTCCTAGCAGTATGAAAATCAAGGTGGTGGCACCACCTGAAAGAAAATACAGTGTATGGATTGGAGGGTCAATCCTTGCTTCTCTCAGCACCTTCCAGCAGGTGAGTTTTAAGTTGTTCCCGTGGGTAGTTTATTTGTGAATGGTTAGTTATGGTTCTATTGTGTTGACTCTTTCTTATTTGTGTTGATGATACAGATGTGGATCTCTAAGGGAGAGTATGATGAATCTGGCCCCTCAATTGTTCATCGGAAGTGCTTCTGAGTTCAGCAAGGTTGTTGGTGATGAGTCGTTTTATTTTATTCAGTTGGCTTTCTGTCATGTGTCATGTGTCATGTGAACTCAGTATGGTTGAGCAGCAAGATCTGAGAGTTTATGGTTATTTGAGGGAACAGAAGAGGGGTATGCTATAAATTTGCCGCTTCATGGTTTCTCGTAGTAGAACATTATGCATTCATTCTTAGTAGAGCGGGATTGAGGAGCCAAATCTCTATTTGCAATGGTTGGCTTTTTATATGGAGTGCAGATGGTACTCTTGGTTCTCTTTTGCCTCTCCTTTTTTATCTCTAATTCAGCCATTCTAGTAGGAGGGAGAATTTGATGTTTTTAATTCCATTCTCTTTTTCTCTTTCGAGGGTAGAGTTTTTGGGGGCAGTTGTGTTAATATTTATTATATGAGAAATCTGATTTCAATGTCAGTTTGCAGTTATGGAACCATTTATTTCTTAATGATATGATATTATTATTATGGTGCAAGGTTCCCTATTTGTTGTGTTTCTATTGCATCTGTTGAAGCTTTCTTGGGAATGCATTGGAAGCAAATAGTGCAAATGGTAACTTTGATTCAACTCAACCGCCATGGATGATGCTTGATTTGCTCGTCGTGCACCGGACTGGGCGGGCCTACTGCAGCTGTAAAGGTTTTGTTCGGGGTTTGTAAATGAACCAGAAAAGAAATAACGTGTCTTTTCTCAGGGTGCCCTAACGAGATGATTCAGAGAGTGGAAGGTACACCTAACCTTCATAAAGAATCAGCCGAACGTGTCGTTTCTGCTCTTTTTTTTGCTACGGTTCTCACTTTTTCTAAGCTGACATGCTGCTGGTAAGGTGATCAGTGAACCGTGAGATAATGGAATCCAATGACTCAAACCACGAATAGGACGTCCTTTTGAGTTTTGAGTACGTTGCCAGTTTCTTGCGGTCCCCCACCTCACGTTACAACCACAGACAAGCGATATATATATATATATATATATTGTTTTTTTCTTCACTGTCATCTGCCGTTCGCTCATCCTCGACGGGATTGGCTTGGGTTGGCACTGGAGGAGACAGGATATGTTGCCCCAACTCCCAAACCCAAAGTGCCTTATTATTCTTGATTAGATTCACATTCACTTTCTTGCGGTTGCTCTGCCGAAAAAATACCACACAAATCGAAGAGTTTAAGGTAAATCAAGATGAGATCCACATCGAATCTTACCTGGGATTCGGAATGGTGTGGACACTGCAACATCTTCAAATTAATTTGTATTAATGGCCTAGTCCGGACTCCGGACAATTCTTGGACGCATGCGTCATTTTTTAACAAATGGGTGGTGTTCATGTACTTACCCGGATCCTGATTTGCATGGAACAAGCCAAGGAAGTCAAAACCATTAACGAGAGTTTCCCTGATTGTCATCTCCAATACCAATAACAAGCTAACTCTCCTGTTCACTGGGAAACAGAGCTCCCAGGACCAACTTAGGCTTCCCTCCCTTTTTCCTACATGGGGAGTGGTTCTCAATACACGGCTGCAATGTGCTGTGAGATGGGTGTGTGATGAGGAAATCTTGATTCATTTACGATTTACCCCAACCCAACCCAACAAAGAAAGAGAGTTTAGGTGACCGGTGGATCCCTGTTCATTTCATAAATATTTATACTGCGGTCTCCACCGGTAAGGAATTGTTCTTTTTTTCTTGGCCTTAGTTGATTCGGATAATGGGACAGAAAACTCCTGTCTATTACTCTATTTATATATTTTGGATAGTTTTTGGACATGGGTAGAGTGCTATCTTCCCAAATCTCCGCACTATACACCTACCACTCATGCTTTGCGGTTAAGAAAGAAAACACCTCATGTCTCCTCAAATCAGCTGCTGATGGTTCATCAAATTCCTCCCATTCACATCACTTCTTAAATGCATCGTCCCATCAGAGATTCTACTCTCTGCATATTTTATCTCATCCCCATCCATCTTGTGTGTGCACATACGCAGCACCAACAGAGACAAAAAATATTCAAAAAGGAGAATAACCAATTATCCCCATCCCTGTCTAATTGTCTACACATATATTCTATCCCAGTTTCTTCTTTATTCTATCTCATCCCTCCACACTAACTTTTGTTGTTAAAGAATTGAAAAATATGCTCACGACATTTTCATCATTGCCAGTGGGAACTTGGGCAACAGGACCAGAAAAGAATTCTGTAAATCCTCTTTTGTAGTGTTAAACGGGCACATGGGTGGTTTAATTAATAAACCGATGCTGAGTCTGACCACCAAAAACTAATAAATAGGATTAGTTTTAGGTACATGGCATTAAGCTCTTCCTCTTTTCTATTAACACAATAAGTAATATAATAGAGGATTAAATTTCTCTCTGTAGTGATCATGAACATAAAGTGATGGATTCACGTGATCAAAATCCTTTTACAGAAATCGTTAGTGAAATATTAAAATTGACAGGGTGTCAGTTTAATGCCGCCCACATGGTCATGCATTGTTCAATAATTCTGGTGGATGCATGAGTAGAGCTTGAAATTCAATGGCCCAACTGTCTCGAACATTGACGGGATAGTGCTGATTGGTGCCCACTGCCCAGACCCACTTGGGATTGTTCCTGCTTCAATAATCGTCTGTTCTACGTTACGTTACAGAGTTGATTCTTCATTCCAATCTCCGAAAGTTACTTTCAAGAATGGAGAATGCTATTGCTTAACGTTAAGGGCCTTTTGGGACAGTTGAAGCATTGATCCAGAGCTGCTTTGGAGAAGCCATTAAAAGAAACTTCAGCATAAAGGTTTTTTTTTTTTGTGTGTGGCTTTCAGCAGTCATTTTGGACTCTATGGGGTTTTCACTTTTCACCAAACATGGCTCATATTCCGTCTGGGTGAGGCCCACCTTACAAATCTAGAAGGCATGGTGTGAAAGGCTGAAAGCCCTCCCAACCCACTGAGGATCCAGTTAAGGCTAGCCAGCTTAACTGAAGCACGCCGGATAAGTTATTCAAAGAGGCTGAAGTGGTTAGACCCATGGTTTTCAAAACCGACCCGGAGACTGAACTGGTAAGGGGTCCGGTTATCGGTCTGACAGAAAAAATAAAAAAGTTAAAAAAAATAAAAAACGGTAAAAACCGTTTGAATGGTTCGAATGTTCAACCACCTGGTTCAGTGGTTTGCTGACCAAAATCAATGATTTTTTGGGAAAATCCAGTTTTAGGAGAAAACAGACCGGTTCTCTGTTTTTCCAATCCGATCGTCTTGTCTGGTCTGATTTTGAAAACCATGGTTAGACCATCACATGATTAATTGACGGCCAGTTTGGGTTATCCTGACTTTTCATCAAACATTAACCGTAGACTGTCCATGAAGGACCCACCTTTGAAAGCAGAAGCCGCTGAGACCGGATCTGCTCCTCAGGGCGCCTCACATGCATATCCCAACCATGCATTGAGAACATCTCTCTGTACTTATAAGTTATTTTTCATGGGAGATGTTTCCAATGCACGGTAGATGTGTATGTGAAATGCCCAAGTGTGAGAGCATATCCTGTTCTAAAGTCGCTACACTTCTGCCCTTGCAAATAAGCTGCCCACAAAATACCACAACCATGTATTGAGAACATGGTTTTTAAAACCGACCCGGAGATTGAACCGGTCAGGGGTCCGGTTATCGGGTCAAATAGTCTGATTGTTTGAACCGAGTGGTCGGCCCATTTTGACAAAAAAATAAAAAATTTAAAAATATTTAAAAATGATCAAAACCGTTTGAATGATTCGAATAATTAACCACCCGGGTCAGCGGTTGCTGAACAAAATCAACAGTTTTGGGCAAATTTTTGGTTTTGGGGAAAACCGAAACCGATCTCCTGACCAGTTCTCGGTTTTTCTGGTCCGGCCTGGTTTTGAAAACCATGATTGAGAACATCCCCACTAATGACATGGGAAATATTTACAGAGACCAGATCTGCTCCTCACACAGCACCTCACATCGACCTCACAGGAACATCCCACTATGCATTGAAAACATCTCCCATACTTGTGTGTTATTATTTACGGGTGATGTTCTTAAATCCTAATGCATGCGGAAATGTGCCTGTGAAGTCGATGTGAAGAGCCCTGTATAAGGAGCAGATCCCACCTCATATTTGCACTGCACAACTCTAATGTTGTGTAGGCAGGGATGTAGGAACAACTAGTGGATAGCAGATCCGAGCCCATCAGCTATGAGTGCGAATATAAATGTGCGAATTTACATGACTGAGTGGCCAAAGTGAACACACCAGTGTTCTGTAATGGGTTCTATGTGTACACTAACACTGGCATGTCCGCTGGTGATTGATAATTCAACTAGGTCTAGTGGTCTACAGACTTATATTTGCATCACATCTGGATTCCTAAGAGCGGGGCTGGGAAGTGGCCCAGCTTTGCCAAGAGTGACTCAACTACTCAAGCTCAAGAACTAGAGAAATAGAGATTGGGCTCAAGTTGAAGCTTGGTTCCACTTCCATTCAGAAACAAACGTAGATTGTAGATTCATTGTCATTAAAATAACACAAGCATTATAATATAAGATTTATATTTATTATATATATGGTGTGTTTTGTATACTAATTTATATCTATATCTATCTATAGCAGTATTAAAAGTATGAAGGAGAGTGTGAAACTTTTGTTTAACTAAAATATTCTACTTTTTTATTTTGGTTGCTCTCTAATTGGTAAGGACAAAAAAGTAATTTGAACACCCACTTTCCCTAATTTAGTTTTCTATCATTATATCGTGTATTTGTGATATTAATTCTCATTCTTTCATTGAATCTTATATTAATTAATCATATTTAAGGAAATAAGTGTGATAAAGAATAATTGTTTTTATTGATGATAGAAATAAAGTACAAATTTAAAACCAATACAAAAAATGGGATTGTTTTCTTGTTTTGTGGTGAATCAACAATTCAACCCTTTTGGGTCAAATGTGTAAACACTTAATGTAATAATAATAATAATAATATGAAAACACATAAAAGTATACAAAATATCAAAAAAAATTGAAGAAAACATTTGGGCACATCTCTAATACTATATATTCATCATATTAAACAAAATTAAGTGTGTCAAATAAGAATAATTTTTGTAAACATAAAAATATAAAAAATTGTATAAAATTTTGGAAACATATTATTTACTATCATCATCATAAAAAATTGTTACATGCACACTTGCTACTATCTAAAGAATCTATAAATGTCGAAATGGATAAAATTATAATACCAAGCCAACCCAAGCATGGTTTTTAAAACTGAATCGGTGACTAAATAGGTCAGGGGTCCGGTTATTGAGTCGAACGGTCCAACCATTCGAACCGAATGCTCGGCCCGTTCTGACAAAAAATAAAAAAATAAAAAAACCTCAAAAAAATAAAAACGGTCAAAATCGTTTGAACGGTTCGAATGATTAATTGCCCGATTTCTAGTTTTTTCGATTTGACCA